TGTCCTATCTTCGCTGCCCTGCCTCTTCTGCCAACTTGTTAGTTTTTGCCTGTAGATCTTCAGGTTTGTGCGACTTCAGACACAAGTCGTCGGAGAAATCCAAGTCTTCTGGTTTCTTTTCGGCGGTCCAGCGTATCCCCCTCTTCTCGTTCCTTACAGTTTGTTACATGATCCAGTCTACCACAATCAGAAATATCATGGGTGTTAGTAGGCAACCTTGCTTCTCTCCTGTCTTCACTTCCAAAGCATCACTGAGCTTCCCATTGTGAATCACTTGGTCTGTGGCGTCTTCATATAATTGTTGAATGGGATTGGTAAAGGTTTGTGTTATTCTGTAGTATTGAAGTAGTTTCCTAGTTTGGTTGCCACATTGCAAATATGATCGATAGAATTCTGTCTGAACTCAGGACTAGACAACATGAAATTGGTTGCACTCCACTGACCAATCAATACATGAAATGACATCGCCTAACATGAGACATGGTCTTGATAGAAAACAGCAAGATTTCGGTATCTGGTAAAAATTATGCCTAGTAGAAGTTCTCGAACTTACAGAACAGTAATATACATACATGAAGTAAAATATAAAACATAAACAGAGGTCCAGAGTATCTGATTTATGTTGTGGTAAAGTGTATTTTTACATGATTCTTTTGTGAATACATCATTAATGTTTTGAACCTGTGACCTATCAAAGATGCAACTGTATATAGGTGATTAATTCTCACCTCGTTTGAACAGTTTGGTTAAACTTTGAAAAGAACATTCTATCTGGAGGTTTGTGGAGGTTTAGCTTAAACTATATCATTGACTCTAAAAAATAAAGAAACATCAGGAACGTGGGGCACTGGATAGCTGTTTCGCCCTAGTATGAGACTCCTCAGCAGTGCGCACACACGATCGCTCACTGCCAGTGGTCGAGTCCAGAACCTTCAGGTTCCATGGCCAGCATGTTAGTTTCAAGTCACTGGGTCGGAACCTAATGGTTTACATTTCATTCTTCTGTCAGTTCACGATATAGTGCAACTTACATCCAATGTCATCGATGAGTAAGTGTCTTCATGTTCGACTTATTAGACTCCACTGGTCACAAACATTTGAAATAGATTTCAAAAGGAGACATATTTAGAGTCTGTGGGGTGTTCAGCAATGGAGTTGGAAACGGTTTTCTGCCTACACTTCAACAATCACGCTTGATAATGTTCACAAGTGCATTTTTAAGTTGACATATAGTACGATCGATGTACTCCGTTCCACAGGAACAAGTTGACTTGTAAATATGCATTTATAAGGCCCAATGTGTCAAATTGTCCTTCTAGCACTAATATGAAAACATAGTACGGGGGTTTGTAGCACAGAATGTTTTAGTTAGGGAAAAACGTTGGCAAAGGATGTCCGCTGCAATATCATCCTTGAATCAGAGGTTCAATAAACGTATTTTCATCAAAGGTGACTGGATCTGTTCCATAGTCTTTTTTCGTATCTTTCTTTGTAAATCTGAATGAGTAGTCATCCCATAACTGTATTTCTCGGAGGGTTTTTAAGTCCTCAAGATCCCCCTGCCTGTCGTAATGATCATTGTAATTCCCCGTTGATATACAGGGCTAAATTGCCCCACTTCTGTGGGTAGATAGGCTCCTATACGGATCCCTCTATACTGCCAGATATTTATAATGTTATATTAATCTCGGTGACTAGCAGAAAAATCCAGAAAGCTCGTTTCGTCCCACTTCGAACTCATCACAGATCTAGTGATTTGGCCCGGCACAGCAACGAGGAATTACAAGCATCTTTTCAACAACATTTGATTCCCGTTGCACCGAAGGTAGATATCATGCCCCAGTGGCATTTGAAGCGATAGGTACTAGGCTTGAGCCTCTGTGGGAACAACATCACTCCTCACTGGAGTGCAGGCACATCCAGATGATGAGTCCCAAGCAGGACTAGATGTGTTTCTTTGATTCTTCTACTAATCACTAAAATCAATATTCTTCTTCCTACTTAAAGACATTCAACTTGGAAACTAGTCAGTTGTCCGTTTCAAGTAGGCTTCCTGTAGATATAATTTTGAAAGGTATTATAAAGTCTTCTTAGGAGCTTGACGTCGAAGAAATGAAAATTGGAGTTTGATTCAGTTTTCAGTGTAACTCTGACTGAATTATGACTGTCTTTGAAGTTTTGAAGGAAGTTTACCATTTCCAGGCTGTCATCATAAACAATAAAGGTTCAGTTCCTGTATCTTTTATATACATGAAGTTGACGGCAAGTAGAGGTTCAAGAGGTGATCACATGACTACACCATCAATTTGTCAGTAAATTTCGTTATTACATTTGAAGTGAACATAAAGTTTCACAAGAAACATTTGTCATCGGGATAGATTAATATCTTAATATCTTTGAATGAATCAGTAAACTCGAATGTGTTACAACAGTTGTTTTTTTACGAGTTCAAGAAATTTCACCACCCATGTTACGGTTGTGTGGTAGGAAGAGTTAGTCATATCCTGTATGGGATGGAGTAGGATGTCATCTTCGTGGACGTTTGGTAAAGCATACAAGCGTGGAAGATATATGAAACAAAGAACAACATAGAAACGTTTCACAGAAGTACATCACCCCATGTTGTTACAATTGACGGTAGCACGCAAAAAAAGGTGAATAGAAAGTAAATGATGCACAAGGCTAATTAAAATCTCATGTGGACCAAAAGTGTGATTAGGTAATGGTTAGTGAGAATGTCCATAATTTAGATGACAAAAAGTTGAGCTCTTTTGTACTATTAGAGTGACTTTAAGCCCAATTTTTAAAACCCATCCTTGAAACAATCAAAATAACCGTTTAGGTTTCACTATTTTGGCTGGAAACACAGATTTTCATAAAATACAGAGGTCTAATTGACTATTCCACTAGGTGGCCTTTGAAGTCGAATTACTTTAAGGGCCACCCTAGCAACTGTTGAATAGACAAGTCAGGCTGCGATATTTTCTGCTGAGAAAGTTCTTTTCCATAAAATAAAGGAATGTAATTGACTGTCTCATCAGTTGCTAGGGTGGCCTTAAAGTCACCCCACTGTTATAGTCGATTCCCAGCCAAATTATGAAGTCTCCCAATAATAATCTCCAACATCTAGAGGGCTTCAATCAGATAGTCTTCACCTCCCTACACAGCAAATACCAACATTAAAATACGTCATAGAGTAGTCCTGTGTCATTGTCTGGCTACTCTTGTCACTTTGATTTAAGGCTAACCCTGCACAACCTGAGAATACAGGTTGAGACATGTGAGGTGTTTGGATGAATAAAACAAGTCAAACATCTAAACCGATGGATATTTTCAGCCTTATTGACTGACCTGCACTTCTCGCCTTGTAATGTAGAGTGACTTTAAAGGCCAGCTCTAACAACTGCCGAAGAAACCCATTAGTTTAATATATTCCACCTGGCAGAGCAGTTTTTCACTAGGTGAAGAAAATTAATCGGTTATCTGAACAACTGCTAGGACTGACCTTTAAAGACGCCAGTAATGTATGCCTTATCTTAACATCGGTCACACAGTGAATACACCAAACGCCACCAACGTCACGAAGGTACCAATGGCATCTATATACAAACATGGTTGTAAAATATCTAGCTGAAATTAAATGAATTCAGGTCTTGTTATTATTCACCAATTGGCAGAAGAGGCAGGGCAGCGAAGATAGGACACCATTCAAGTGAATATAGAGAAGACACAGGTGATTAAGATACCCAACCAACAACACCAACACCAACAACAACAAACTCCAATCACCATCAACGGGAGAAACTTAAAGGAAGTAGCCTCCTTCACCTCTCTAGGCAGCACTGTCTCAACTACAGGCGGCAGTGGCATAGACGAGGATGTCAAGACCAGTCAGAATCGGAAAAGCATGACAGGCGTTCATTAACCTGAAACCAGTGAGGAGATCTACTGCACTGCACTGCACTGCACTCAGCATAAAACTTGAACAACATCCAGATTTTCAACACCAACTCACTCAAGTCAGTGCTTCTGTATGGCAGAGAGACTTGGCACGTTACGAAAGGGATTTCCAACAAACTACACACATTCATCAACAACTGCCCCCTACACTGGACAGAAAGAATAAGCAAGGAGGAACTCCGATAACGAACAAACCAAGAAAGAAGCTATCACTCAACAAATATGCAGTGGAAGGAAGTGGAGATGGATTGAATTGGCATACACTGAGAAGGCCGACTGGAGACATCAGGTGTCAGGCGTCAGGTCAGGTCAGGTCAGGCGAGGCAGTTGAGTGGAAGCCAGATGTGAAGTGACGAGTTTGTTGTTGGAGGTGAGGGTGAGGTGAAGTAGATGGTGTGAGGAAGAAATGAGAGGTTGTGGGCAGTGTTGGAGCGAGGTAGAAAAGATTTGAGAGAAGAGAGTGTAATGGAGACGTGGTAGTGAAGCTGTATGTTCCATTAGGAACCCAAGGGGCATATGATAATAAAAAATAAATTATTATTATCATTATTATTTGACACTTGTGTTCCTAGTGGAACATAAGGCTTCAGTAGCAGGTCTCTATTCTACTCTCTTCTCTGCGGTCTTTTGAACCTGGCTCCATGACTGCCCAAGGGACAAATAAATTATAATAAATAATCAGATTTACTACTCTTTACTGAGCATGATTTACATTTGAGCTTGAGGGAAAGCACGTTGAAATATTCCTAAACTTAACAAGTGAACACTTATAGAACAAACGAGTGTAAACGAGGCTTGATGTATAAACAGCCGGAGATAAGATCTGCTATTTAGAGTTTCTAATATGGAATGATGGTAAGTGACAGTCATTATGTTAATTACGTCTATAGTAAGTCACTGTGATCTATTCATCTGATGTGATCAGTGTCTGAAAAGTTTCACTTTTTTATATGATCGGTGCACTAATTTCCAGAATACTATTTGTTGAATAGATGTTTTATTGGCTTCATGAATGTACTGTTTTGAATAATTCAACTTACTTTCACATGCTTCATCTAGGTCATTTTTGAAAAGGCACAACTTTTCTGCATCCACTGCGCACGTATGGAACTGAGCACTGAATAAAGTAAAATAAAAGTTAAGACATTCATCATATATATATATATATATATGTATATATATACTGACTGAAACGTTGGTACATGCAGCTGACGAGCCTTAGATAGGATGAAGCAAATGAAACTTATTGTACAAGAGATGGCTTTCATAACCCTTAGCAGCCTAATAAATAACAATCTAGAGGTTCATTTGATGTCTCTTGGTTTCAAATCAGGACGGAAACATTGCCACCCATTGAGATGCATGTTCATTAAGCTGACGAATACAAATTTGGACGAAATGAGCGTACTAGATTCCAATACTGGGCAGCACAATGGAAATAAGGTCAGTAAGCAGATAGTGTCTATGAGCTATGATATTTAAGCATCAAGAGACTATTTGTAAAAACTTCTTTACACATTGTACAGCCAGTGTTGACTATTCTTGAGGTCGCAATTTTAGATTCGGAACTAATAATTTACAACAGAAATTCTGTTAACACTAGAGTTTGTATTGATCTAAATAATGGCTATTGGCTAACAGTAGAATCCATAACGTGCGCTTCGTTTCATTTGGGACTCGTGAGCTTGAAGCATCTGTATCCTAGTGAGTGATTTTGCTTCCAAAGAGACTCGAACACAGAATCCATCGCTTCTAACGACAAAGCGTGGTAATATATAAATTTATGAAAAGAATACTAACAACGAGGAAAGTTGATAAGTAGGTTTTGTAATTTCCAGAAAAGTCATAAGCTTGATGGCCAGTTTCCATACACCAAGGTGCTTTTCTTTAATTTGGCTACCAACTTGTCGAACGATAGGTCGGAAGGATTTTAAAAATACACGAGAGTATATATGACAATCAGATAGTATAATTGAATGATTAAAACAATGTAGAAAGGAGAAATTTTATGCAGTAGATATACTTCGTGATAAAAAAGGTAGCTCGAAGTTTAAGCAGGCTACCGAGAATATCACAACGGCTCAACAAAATATGCTGGTGAAACGCTTGTTCCCGGAAGATCCTACTTTACTAGAAAGGTCTGTTGGATAATGGTTAGACAAAAAGGAGTTACTATTATAGTGTAAAATGCTAAGCTATAATGAAGGTCTTAAGGCGAAGTTGTATTGCTGGTTGGATGCAGGTGTAACAGCAGCAAGGTACTTCCTTTGGATTACCGGCAGTGCCACGTTGATGCTGCCTTCCCTATGGGAAGGGAGGGTTAGAATGGGTTGATGCCAAAAGTAACACAATTCTGATCCTTCGTCACATGCCGATGCTTGCAACGAGAATTCACAGTCGGATTTGAAAGAAAAAAGCCAGAACCTCAAGATTTCTAAAACGCCGTGTGTGACCGGTCTCAAGTAGATGTCACATTGGCTCTGCGGTCACAAACTGTACTTTTTTCCTTAGGTACCTCAAAAAAGACTAGCAGCCGAGAAGTGTTAACCACCCGCACACTTCCAGTAGTACACAGGACCCAACCAAACATTACCTATTTTCACATCGTAAGTTGACATTAAGCCTATTACATCCTATGCATTCTCTCATTCTCTGGTCATTCCCAGGGATCAAGGCATTGAAACCTCATTCCTAGTCTCCTAAGACCTCGTCATCGACTTTATGTAGTAGCTTTTAACATCCAACCCTTATGTCTAGTCGGGCAACAAACCCTGGAGTCTCTAGTCATAGATGCATGCTGTGTCTCTGAGATAGGTATGCAGAAACCGTGTATGGTTACTAAATTGACCTCACTTGGCCATAGTTGTGAATTTCCAAAATTTACTTTAGGAATATCCAGAGGCCCAGTGGTTAGCTGTCGTGGACTCAGTGGTATAGTGATAGGACTGGGCTATATGCGAGCCAATGCACTTCTTGACCTGATAAAAAACAACAACCGTTTATGGGTTGTTTGACTGAATTGATCTGTGAGAACTAGGAAGGGTTGTGAAAACAACCAAGTCATATTCCTAATATCCGCTTCTACACTCATCGACTGCAGTTCGCACGATGTGAAGGATGAATCCTATGTAAAGCTATCAATTTTGCTATAGAAAGCAAAATGTTCAGGTGTATTCATAATGACAGGTGGCTTTAACACTCAAGGAGAAAAGCTGAAACAATTGGACAGGCAGGTATCCTGAGGGTATTTACAGAATCTTATGCAAACGAACCTATTTTGTTCCGCCAACCACTTGTTTTTGGTCAACACTAACTTTAGACATAAGGAGAGACATTGTGTTACATGGAGGCCGCCAACATCAAACCAACGATGGACGCAGATAGATCACATTGCTTTAAAGCACTGTCGGATTGGATCGGTGGAGTACCAGTTTGGACTCCGATCACGCGTTCCTACAGGCTCGTGTATCTCTGCACCTTAGTAGTCGCAGGAAAGAGAAGACAGTGAAGTCCATCTGTGCTCGGGTGGTGGGTAGGTAGGTAGGTAGGTAGGTAGGTAGGTAGGTAGGTAGGTAGGTAGGTAGGTAGGTAGGTAGGTAGGTAGGTAGGTAGGTAGGTAGGTAGGTAGGTAGGTAGGTAGGTAGGTAGGTAGGTAGGTAGGTAGGTAGGTAGGTAGGTAGGTAGGTAGAGAGAGAGAGCAGGATCAGCTAAGCATTTATTTAAACATAACAGCTATGCTCATCCTGAGGAAACCTGGCGTGATATTAATTCCGCTGTAGAAAAGGCCGTAAAGACATTTAGTAACCTGCACCCGAAGGTTAGCGAACGTCATTGAATTTCCTCAACGTCATCCGAACTGTTTGGTGTGAGAAGCTTGATTCCAGCTGGCTCTAATCACTGTGGAAAGCGAAGGCAGCTTAAGCATAAGTTGGCCAACAGTCTTTGCATGGATCGTGAGCGGTGGTAGCTGAAGGAAGCGAGAAAAATGGAGGGAGCATCACCGGGAAACTGATTAGGCTTATTCAAGACACCAGCAAAACAGGAGGACGGTTAGTCAAACCATCACTTAAAAGGGTATTACCCTGATAACCTCCTGGGACAGGCAGCTAGAACGTTGGGTAGAACACTTTGAAACATAGTTCAGCTAGTCCTCAGCAATGCTTCAGTTGGCCAGCATCTAGGCTGAACCTGAATGGGACGTAGATGTCGGTCCTCCAACTCTCCTTGGAGTTAAGAAAGCTGCACTGAACCTGAAACGATACAAAGCATCATGATCTGACAGTTTGCCACTTAAAGCTTCTAAAGATGGAGGTAGGAAATTTCTGCTTACATTGACGGAGGTGCTGGTTAGTCTGTGGGAATCAGAGGTAGTGTTGTCAGCCGGCATACTTCTCAGATCGTCCCTGTCTATAAGAAAGGAGAAAAAATTTCCTGTAACAACCATAGTGGAATTAGTGTTGTTGCTTATATTATCCTATAGTTGATTGGGATATGCCAATAGAGACCGATCAATTCAGTCCAATCAACACTGGGATAATACAAGTAACAACACTAAAACTGCACCCGCCGCACAAGAAGTGGCTATTGTGGCTCGGTGGTCTAATTGATGACGCTCTGGCGTTTGAAACGAACGGTCCCGGGGGAAACAACATCACTCACTGGGAGGCAGATACATACAGCTGACCGGTCCTAAACAAGGTGAGACGCATGTTCTGGATTCCTCTGCTAGCCACTATCTAATATTGTGTCCAAGATCCTAGGATCCATAATTGTTTAACCCCTAATTGAAACAGTAAACTCGAGAAAATCGAGAAGCTTCCAAACCTAAACGAGGGTGTGTCGATCACATTTTTATCCTCCGATAGGTTCTGGAACATAGGCATACTCACTGTTGGCTGATAATTGCCATATTTCTTTACTTGAAATCGGCATTTAACTCTGTCGACCGTGAGATGTCTTGAAAGTGTCTGACTGTGAAGGGAGTGCCCTGCAAGTAAATAGCGCTAATCAAAGCTGTCTACTCGAACTCATCCAGCCGTGTCAGGGCTTACGCAGAGTTATCTTCAGAGTTGACAACAACTAGTGTTGTCCGCCAGGAATGCTTACTGCCACCGTTCCTACTTAGCGTCATCATAGACATACTAATGGACATAACCTAAGGTACATCTAACTTTGCAAGGATTGACCTACTCCCAGCAAGTCACCTGGTTGAATTAGAGTATGCAGAAAATGTTGTCCCGCTAGATAAAAACTATGACAAAATACAGAGTCATGTGAAGATGATGAGCAGAAATTTGAGTATGTTCGGTATGCGTTTTACTGTCACCTGTGAAATGTAAGATGATACTCCAGAACCAGTCTGCTGAAAGTACTTCCAGTTTAATGGTAGGGAGTGAAATGGTGGAATATACCACCACTTTCCCTACTTGAGGAGTTGTATGAGCCCGGACGGACTGGTTGCTGACGAAATCTCAGCTCATATACACAAGGCCCGTTTTACATTTGCTGAATTGCATCATCTGTGTCGCCGACTGGGGAGATATCCGACTGTTTATCAAAGGACGAGTATACTGTGCTGAAGTCCGCTGTGTCTCGTTATATAGATTTGAGACGTGGTCGTCAAAAGTAGAAGAAATGAAGTGGTTACAAAGTTCCAATCACAGATATCTTCGTAACATTGCTCACTTCTACTGGAATCACCATATGAACGATGTAGAGTGCAATGGGGGGTGTTCTAGGTGAGGAAGCCAATCTAGTCAGCCAGGTTGCTAACCTTCATCTACTGAGATATCTTGAACATGTATTGCACATGCCAAACCACCGCTTACCTCGACGTACAATGCTGTGAAAAGTTGGATTATGTTGGACGAGGGTGTAGGGTGGCCAGATCAAGACGTGGGACCAGTCGATGAAGGCCCTAGTTACTGGTCTGTGCGGTTTTTGGAAATTTAAGCCGCATCGTTAGTGTTGCCTCATACAACCTTTTCTACTTTGATATCAGTTATCTTCTGTACGCTTGGTTTTTGTAACCTACTGTGAAGTGTGGGAATTTGAAGTAATGGACTTCTGTGGAAAGTTCTACGTTGGTGCTGTCCCGTAAACTTCAGAACTGGTTTTCAGCCAACTATTATAGACAGTTGTGTACCCTTAGGTGATGTTCATACACCGTTTGTTGTTTGTTAGATTGTTCCTGGCTGTTGACAGACAGATTCATATCAAGCAAGGACTATGCTTTGTAATACTTATCAACAAGATGAAACAAATATTTTTTTTAATTTTGAGGTTTGTGGGGATTTTTTGATGCCAAGTAGGTATTCATCATGGACTGAAATCCCCATGCTCGCATCCGACTGCCTTTGTCTCACCATTCAAGAATTCTCGTTGGAACCTCGAAAAATCTCATTTCGAAGTAAGTCACTAATGAGCACTAGGTAGTAACTTAAACAGGAGGTTTGTGGGGATTCCTTGATTTCATATTGGTACACATCATGGACTAACATCAGTTGAAGAACTATAAGAAATCCGAGGGCACTGAGACTTCACAGCAGTATGCACCCGTGACTTCGTCAGGGACATCAAAATAAATTCACTTATTTTTGGAACATAGTGCGCCTGATCTAGGTAGACGATATATTTTGAAACACTGAACTGCATATTATAGAGAAATTAAGGAAGAGACTAACCAAGGACAAATCGGAACCCTCCATTTAAAATACATTCATTGGTGTTTGGTTTAAGATACCGCAGTGCTTTATTGCTTAAACATGCTGTTGCAACTTCATGATGTGCCCAGTTTTTTAGTTTGTTCCAGTAGTAACTCATTTCGATGCCCACATATGTTATTTTCTGGGAAAAGTTGAAGTTCAGAAGAAAGTATGAATTTCTGTAATATGTGTTATCTTTATGTATTGGAGTAATTAGTAAAGAGTGGAGTGCAGAGCATCTCCCTCCACTACTTCGTCTCAGAGATGCGCAACTATATACTCTAGGGAACTAAAGTTTCCTTAGAGATCATGTCACATGCCATCTGAAACTGTAGTCATCTAAATCATTATTGATGCATCTGTGCACTGGTTGATCCCTTACAAGACTAAATTAAACAGAAATTGTTCACCACTTAGGATTTTTCAGTGACCAGTTAATTTATCTTAGGCAGTCTTACAGGACGTTTTTCGCTGCCCCAATAATTAACCAGTAAAGTGTTTGACTACAGCAGTAAGTGAAGCAACTTTGAATCTCTAGAAGGACCCAAGCTCACTCATAGTTGTGGATGCACTTTGTTGACAAGTACCAACAAAAGCGACACCTAGGTTTACAGCCTCCTCCCCATCAACTCCGATTGCTTAACTTGTAAAAATTGTAAGATACACATCAAATTATTCTTTCTGACTGGAGAAAAGTTAAAATATTACCTTTTCCAGTCACTCATCGTTTGAGGAGTGGACACAGTTATGAAAACTTGACAACAGAGATTCTTATTTTCAGACTTAAAAGGTTTTAACTTCCTTTCGGAAGGCTTTAGTGAAAAAGGCTTTTCTACTACGAATGAAGTATGACCACTTATTTCATTTTCAGTACTATAAACGTTTTGCTCCAAATGCAAAAAATATTTCATGTTGGTATTCCGAACACTGGAAACCTGGGAGCATTGGAGAGCTGCTTCGTCCTAGTATAAAACTCCTCACCAGTGCGCACCCATAACTCCTCCTCACCAGCGACAGAACCCAGAACCTTAAGGTTCCGTGGCCAGGACGTTACCATTGAGCTAGCCATTGTGTCAAAATCCCGTAGTCTATATTTACAAGCCGGACCATTAATCTCAACCTAGTGAACCAATGATGACTTGTTGGCTACAAAAATTGAAGGTTCTGGCTTTGACACTTGGGAGGGTGGGGTCATGAGTTCACACTTCTGAGGATTTCCATACTAGGACAAAATAGCTATCCAGTGCTCCCAGGTTTCTAATATTCCTCCAACTTATGTCAGTCCATGGTGAATACCAACCTGAAATCAATAAATCCTCACAAACCCTCCAATAGAAGAAAAAAGTATTGTTCAGTTAGCTAACCACAATAACGCAGACTGATGAGGTAAATATTGTATTTATCTTACTTGTATAAATCTGAGGTTTTACTTTAAAGAAGGGGAATCATAAGTAGTGTGAATATCGCACCAATCACTTGTTAATGTACAAATCACAGGATGATGAAGAATGTACCATTCAAACAATTAAAAAGTTCTATTTTTCACAACAACTGTACATAATTTTTTCTTCATTTGTTACTTAGGTAGTGAGTAGTATACAAACTCTATTCAGAGTCTAGGACAATTCAGTGCTATAACAGAAAATAAAGTGATTTGACTGAATATCATATGCTTTTACTGACAATCACAAAGCCTATAAAGGATTATATCTCGCCTCAATGTCTGAACGTCACTGCATTTCTACACATCTTATCTGAGCTTATTTTACCTATCAGCTGAATGGTAAACAAAAGAACACACTTGCAACCTCTTAATAATTGGCAGTCTTTCATCGCCTGCTGCATATACTCGAAGACTAGGACCAAGAACACGAAACAACACAGAACAATCCACTTTCATTTAGCATGTAAATATTTCACAACTGCAAATCGTATGGAACTCGGTAAGGACTCTATTCAAAGCATCTGAGCTAAGCTACATTACTATAAAGTAAGTCTTAACCAGCATAACACTAATTTTTATTGGAATGGATAATTTTAACTCAAGGAAACTGAAAGGATAAGCAACAGATATGATAAAAATACTATCAGTTTCATAATGAAATACAAACAGTTATTTCACAGCTTCTAGGTTACAAATAGGTGATATGAGGTATATAACGGGGAAGAAATGCGTTTCATCAGACATTCTTCCTTCTTTCTTTCTCACAACAAAGTAGGTTGACAACCCCCATGTATAGCCTGGTTTCAGCTTCCTTCTCAGATGTGTTAATGATAATCCTTTGGTTTAAATTAGGGCAACATGATTTTATGTTTTACTCAATTTACACCTGTACTGTATAAACAAGATGGAGGAGATCGCGATATTTTGTGACATCCTATTTGACTTTAAAGGATAAATGCTATATCATAGCTGAAAAGAGTTGAAAGTGATTCCGTGTTGTCATCTATAAGAGGAAAAACGAAACCAAATTAACTGTCTCTCTTACACAGAAGTCGAATAAGTTGGACAATTATCATAGTAGGGATGGCCAGAAAGAATAAGCAATGAGGAACTCTGGCAATAAACCAACCAAGAACCTATCGCTCAACAAATGTGTACTGGAAGGAAGTGGAGATGGATTGGATTGAGCATGCACTGAGAAGACCATTCGGGGACACCATGCACCAGGCCAGGCAGTCGAGTGGAACTCATATGCGAAACGATGAGTTGGGTGTCCGAGGCGAGGGTGACATGGAGGAGATGGTGTGAGGAAGAAATGAGAGGTTGTGAGCAGTGGTGGAGCCAGGTTCAAAAGACTGTGGAGAACAGAGTGTAATAGAGACGTGCTATTGAAGCTGTATGTTCCATCAGGAATCCAAGAAACAAATAATAATAGTAGTATGTGTTTCAACCTTTTAAAATTGTAGAACCCAGGAACTGTAAAAGTGATGAAGCATTATTCCTCCTTAGAGAAAATTGAACAGATCTAGTACTTTCTTACTATGTAACCATGATGATTTGAAAACCGTAAGGATAATGTTGTTTTATTTGAAATAGAGACCGAAGAGGTCAATTGCAGTATGAAGTTAAGCTTCAGGAACCTAAATATGCTACATGGTTAAATTAGCTGTGGATATCACAAAATTTCGTCCTTTGAATCCTTCCTCAGCAACTTTATTTGTCAGCTATGATTAGATTCAGCGGTAAAATACACTTAAACACTTAAATAAAGTAGAAAAGTTGTCAATAATTTTTGGTTTAAAAAAAAGTAATAAATACGAAAACTCACCGAAATAATAATTCTTGAAATTGTACAGAAAAATTTGGTTGTATATAACAAGCGATTAGAACATCACCATGTAAAGGTAAAACTGGTTCAATTGGAAATATATACCTCTCCACTCTGAAGTTAATATTGGGGCAACTAGAGAATGATAAGAGAGAGAAGAGAATGATAAATCTTTCATTTTAGAAAACATTTTTGATATGCTCAACATCTACTGGAACTGTTACGTCTATGAACTATGAAAAATGTATAAAAACTGATTCCCTCTCCATTATTATTATTATTAGTCCCTTGGGTTCCTAGTGGAACATAGGGCTTCAGTAGCACATCTCCATTTCATCCTGTTCTCTGAGATCTTTTGAACCTGGTCCCACGACAGCCCACAAGCTCTCATTTCCTCCTCGCACGACCTCCTCCATGTCACCCTTGGACGTCCAACTCGTCGCTTCCCATGGGGATTCCATTCGAGCAACTGGCCTGACGCGTGATGTCCTCAGTCGGCCTTCTCAGTGCATGGCCAATCCATCTCCACTTCTTCCTGCATATTTGCTGGATGATAGCTTCTTGGTTGGTTCGTTCCCAGAGCACCTTGTTGCTTATTCTTTCTGGCCATCTGATCTCCAGTAGCGAGCGTAAGCAGTTGTTGATGAATGTCTGTAGTTTATTGGAAATACCTTTCGTGACGTGCCAAGTCTCTGAACCATACAGGAGCACTGACTTGACGTTGGTGTTGAAAATCCGTATCTTGTTCCGCATGTTGAGTGCAGAAGATCTCCACACTGGTTTCAGGCTAATGAAGGCCTATCTTGCTTTTCCGATTCTGACTTTTACGTCCTCGTCCGTCCCGCCTGTAGTTGAAACAGTGCTTCCTAGATAAGTGAAGGAGGTTACTTCCTTCAAGTTTCTCCCGTTGACGGTGATTGGAGTTTGTTGTTGTTGTTGATGGTGGTGGTGCGGTATCTTCATCACTTCTGTCTTCTCTATATTCACCTGAAGTCCCGTCTTAGCTGCCTCTTCTATCAACTTGTTAGTTTTTGCCTGCAGATCTTCAAGTTTGTGTGACATTAGGCACAAGTCATCGGCGAAATCCAAGTCTTCTAGGTTCTTTTCCGTCGTCCAGTGTATCCCCCTCTTCTCGCTGCCTACTGTTTGCTGCATGATCCAGTCCACCACAATAAGGAATATCATGGGGGATAGTAGGCAACCTTGTTTCACTCCTGTCTTCACTTCAGAGGCATCACTGAGCTTCCCATTGTGAATTACTTGGCATGTGGCATCTTCATATAGTTGTTGAATGAGGTTGATAAAGGTTTGCGGTACTCTGTAGTATTGAAGCAGTTTCCAAATTACTTCTCGGTCGACGCTGTCAAAGGCCTTCTCATTGTAACAAGAAACTTTGGAATGAGCTCTTGAAAGGAGCTAAATGGCTCGAGTTCACGAGGTGTTCTTTTATCGAATTGAAGATATATTTCCGTTCTCCTTTTGCAAACCAGGCTGAGTAACGTTCGTGGACACGTTTTACAAGCGGACACATGGTACAGTCGATGTACTCAGCTCCACAAGAGCAAGTAAACTGGTATACATACATTTATGTGGTCCAATGTGTCGGCTTGTCTTTCACATATTGACCGAAAAGTTTCTTGCAAGAGAAAATTATAAAAAGGTTGGTGGCGAAAAATGTTATGTTTATGGATTTTGACAGTTGTTTCTTCAGAATCTCTGCAGTAATATCATTTCTGAACTAAAGGTTTAACAAAAGAATCTTTTTCGGCGCCAAATGTCTTCTTTCACTTGGATTCTTTGGCATATCTATGAATCTGAGGGGGAACCGGTTTTACGTTAGAGTTCGTCGAAGTATTTGTTACAAACCTTAAACTGAATTACAATGATAATTGAGAAAAAGAAACTAAGTGAAGCATTCCGTATTAGTGAGATTTTTTATCTTACATTGTCTAGTTATACACTTAACGTTTCCATAGGTTTGACATTTTATGGAAACTTATGAAATATTAATGAATGTAACGTCTCTTTTTTCTTAGTAGTAATAATCAAGATATTAATACTACGTTGAATTTTCAACAGTTCACTTCATTGTAATATTTTATTTTCAACTGAACTAAGTAGAATGTCACCGTTCTACATTCTGATACATTTTGATCATACTGATAACTGTATGTCATCGACTTGTAAATGATTACAACATCACAAAGTGAATGATGTTCAGTTATACACGTCAATTATTTCAGTGGTTAAAGTATCCAAATAAAGTAAACTGAACATCCCCGATAGAAAAACCTACTATGTATTCATATATGCCGTTATCTGCAGAACTAAATAAAGAACCAAGTGGAACATATTTCAATCATACTTTAAGACAGTAGATTTAGTTAAGCAAGATTTTATCAGAATGAAGAGTTTGTTGGACAACTTTAGAAACAATATGAGAGTGTATATGATGCATTTCTTATCAACCATATACAATTTATCGATACAGGACTGGTGTAGGTCAATATTTCATCTACTTATACTTAGCGAAGTGGTTGAATGCGCTGATTACGTCATTTGCTGTCTATGTTAGATCTGCTTTGATTCAGCAATGACTGATTAAATCAGAGGACGGATACAAAAACCTTGAACTAACTTTCACGAGCATGTGTTATCTATATGAGCGTAAAAATATTAGATTATCCATTTAGTGCTAAGTGTACTATAAAGCATTTTACGCCTACTTAAGATAGGAGATACTAGGTTTCAAAACCTGTACCACTGTCGCCTTCTTGGTCCAGGTCATGTATTATGGATCTTTCATGTTGGTACGGTTTAAGGTTGAATAGATCAGTAGGTTGATGAAGTTGTGAACCTTCATAGACTCAGATGGCTGATACATGCGTTACACATACATAATCAATGCTGGCTGAAATAGATTTAGGTTGTACAAAGGTTATAGGTAACCAAAATAAAACCTGCCATCAGCTCATAAAGTCTTTGACTGTTACTGTGAGCAGTGTAACAAAATGTACATTTCCCATATGGAGTTCACGTGTTAGCAAAACGTGGGGACTAATGATATATATAGGAAGTGTTGCAACTTTAACCATTGCCCAGTAATGAAGTTGATTGATTGTCTCAGTTTTTAGAACACTCTACAATCTACCACAACTCGTTTCACTGTAAAATCTAAGTTAATTTTCGGTAAACGTGAGTAGAAAATATTACAATATTGATATGAACTATATCTACTTATTTACTGAAATTCGGCTTGGATACCATGTTCATTTTCTGAGTACTTTATACCAATTCCATATTAGATTTGTTTATTTGATTTATAATACACAGTGGTGATACAGTACTATTTACTTGATGACGACGTTTCAAGCATAAATTATCATTCCTCATAACCATATCAATGTGTAATCACACACTACTCCCGACATTTGATTTTTATAGTTATATCACCTTATGTGAGTTGCTTTTATTGGTAGCAAAATTTTCTATAACTCTGGTATATCTGGGTGTTGCATCATTTCTATTACATGTGTTGGCTGGGTGTTGATTCGATGAAGAAGGATTCAGTAATCAATTACTTTCTCTACCTAATTCCTTTGTTGGACTTAAGTACAGTGGCTTTGTCCCACCCTATTGTGTGGTTGTATATTAATGTATGCCTACATAGTTTATCTGAGTGAGTTTTTAGGTTTAAATGTCACCCTCATTTCAGCTCTGTTGAGGATTCTACGTAAAGTTTCTGACGTACCCTCCTTATAGGGTAAAACAATGGAGGCTGTAAACTCCTTTCTACTTGTGTTGTCGTTATTATTCGCACTCTTGTGACTGTTATTTTTTCGTTTTTTATGTGTCCGTAAGAATTTCTTAATAAACTGCGGAGGATAATCATTAATTATTAGCGCTTCTTTTACGTGTTTCAATTACTTCTTTGGGTTCTTGCTCTGACTAGTCAGTTTTCTAGCTCAACCATTTAGACATTTGACTAATCCTGCCTTCACTGACTGACATTGGATGGGATGATTTGAAGTCTACATACCTGTTGGAATGTGTCGGTTTTGTGTAGACGGTAGTATCCAAACAGTCATCTGTCCTTCATTTTATCTTGCAATCTAACGTAAGTAATTCTCCTTGTTCATTTTCTACCTTCTTGTAAGTGAATTGGATTGCGTTTACTACTGAGTTTATATGTGTGAGGAAAGTGTTGACATGTTCCGATTTCACCACAGTAAATATGTCATCCACATATCGCCACCATATTTTTGGCGTAAGATTAAACGTTTGTAAGACTATGTTTTTCCAACTATCCATAAATATATCTGCTACGATTGGGGATATTGGCGATCCTATGGCTACTCCTTCTGTTTGTCTGTATATTTTGTCTTGCAACTTGAAGACTGTGGAGATCAAGAATAACTGTGCACCTAATAATATAATCTCATCAATCGATATCTTAGTTGTATGAGTAAGTTCTAAGTCAATATTTAGTTGACTTCTGACTGCTTCCAGTGCCATATTGATTGGTACTTTAGGACACAGACTTGTTACATGGAAGCTAACCATTTTTTCATCCTCTTCTATGTGTAGATTAAAACTTAGGCTTAATGACCTATGAATTGGAGTACATCTATAAGCAATACAACAAAAGACATACAAGTTCACACTGAATGATTAGTTATCATAATTTAGAAAGATAATGACTATACAAAGAGGATTGGATGAGGAGATTAAATACACTTTTTTTGAATTCATTTATAAATCCTTGATGTTTTAATATTGATTATTTCCCCAAAGAAACTCGGACCAGACTTCTGTGTGAAACAACGTTGGAATTATTCGATTTCAAACCCACTGTGACTTACACAAAAACAAATCTAATCTGGAATTAAATTCTACCACAGTGGCCAAGTTTTACACCAATATTACTTTATACCCCAAGCAAAATTATTAGGCCGCATCATCCTGGAGAGACTAAAGGATGCACTGGATTCCAAAACTACGACTGGAACAAGCTGGCTGGATTCAGGAAGTACAAATCATGTGCGTACCAAATTGCAACGCTTCGCATCATCATAGAACAGAGTGTAGAATGGCAGTCAACTCAACTCAACCTCAACTTCATCCACTTTGAAGAGGCCTTTGACAGCATCGACCTATAAGTAAGTTGACAGTTGCTTCAACACTACGGAATACCACAAACCCTTACCAATCTCATTCAACAACTATATGAAGACGCCACATGCCAAGTACTTCATAATGGGAAGCTCAGTGATGCCTTTGAAGTGAAGACAGGAGTAAGACAATGCTGTTGCCTACTATCACCCATGATATTCCTGACTGTAGTGGACTGGACTGGATCCTGCGTTTGGATTTCGCCTATGTCTGATGTCTAATGTCGCACAAACCTGAAGATCTACAGGCGAAAACTAACAAGTTGATAGAAGAAGCAGGGCAGTGCAGGGTAGCGAAGACGGGTCTTCAAGTGGACGTAGAGAAGACGGAGGTGATGAGGATACCCAACAACCACCATCACCACCACCAACAACAACAAGCTCCAATCACCATCAACGGGAGAAACTTAAAGGAAGTAACCTCCATCACCTATCTGGGCAACACTGTCTCAACTACAGGTGGCAGTGGCACATACGAGAACGTCAAAACCAGGATCGGAAAGACTGCAAGACAGGTGTTCATTAACCTGAAACCAGTGTGGAGATCTTCTGCACTACACTGCACTCAGCATAAAGCCTGAACAAAATCCAGATTTTCAACACCAATTCAGTCAAGTCAGTGCTGTGTATGGCTGAGAGGCCTGGCGCATTACGAAAGGGATTTCCAACAAACCACACACATTCATCAACAACTGCCCCCTACACTGGCTCCTTGCTGAAGATCACATCAGAGCAGATCAGATCAGATCAGATGGCCAGAATAATAAGAATGAGCAATAAGGAACTCTGGCAATAAATCAACAAAGCAAGACATCATGCGCCAAGCTCTCTAGTGGAACGCAGATACGAAACGATGAGTTGAGTGTCCGAGATGAGGGTGAAATGGAGGAGATCGTTTGAGGAAGAAATGAGATGTTGTGGGCAGTGGTGGAGCCAAGTTGAAAAGATTTCAGAGAACAGAGTGCATTGGAGATGTACTACTGAAGCTGTATGTTCCATTAGGAACCCAAGGGACAAATAATATCAATAATAAGACAAAAATTATTAATACTTATTTTAAGATAACAATGCTAATTTATATCCGACTTACAGAACTCTTGTTGTATGCATAAGATTGAAATTCTGGTATATTTTTAAGAACAAACCACATTCATTATCAATAAATGTTTTCAACTGATTGAATGATGATAATGGTCCAAATGTTAATTGATCATCAGTAGTATGTTGTTGTTTAACAGTTGATGTAATCAAAAGAGTTGGCTTAATTGATTCATTAGGAGTTGAAAATATTTGATCCCATCGACCTGTATGATCATCATCATCATCATCATCGTCCTGTTCTAATAAATTATTCATGTTATGTTGTAAAGAATCATTTCGGTATTGTGTATCATATTGTAGTCTAGTCAAATAATCTTCTGGTTGAGCATATAAAGAATTCTCATTGTTTTCAGCTATAGCTTCAAGTGGTTGACCAAGATATCGACCACGTGATGAATCACGATAAACAATAGTATGTAAGTAGACAAGACGATCTTGTAATATCAGTGCTCCAGTTAGTAAACCAGAAAAATATCCAACGTATCTAAAATTTTTGAGTTAGTTAATTCTATAAAGAAATCATTATAGTTTATTATATCATAAATAGTTGAGTCATAATTTCGGTACACATTATGATTTATGAGCTACAGTTATCTAGGTATGAAGAATAATATAAGAAAATGCTGTTGGTTCATGCTTCGGATATGATTTTATCCTGTTTAAAGCAACAGGTCGCTTTGATGAATTTAAACGGTGTAATGAGAAGACGAAAATTATCTGAAATATATCGTGATGTATTAGCGGTATACATTTCGAACAGTCTAATCCACTACACATCGACTTGTTGAACTATTTATGTGAACATTTACGAAAAAGGTCAATGAAGTTAATAGGAAACATAGGAGGAATAGGAAGGGAGAGAAAAAGAAAAAAACACGTTAATCACGTTACTCTTGGTATGAAAATTAAAGTCAATACTACCAAGGTAGGTTCAACGTGAGTACGAATTGTTTTTGTATACATAAAGCTGGGGATTTAAATTTATGGATGGCAACAACTTCAATAAATTTCAGCACTCGACTCTGACCACCTTTATGTAGAGCTTTAAAGTCTATTTTCATGTCTATCCTATGGTTAGTTTCTAGTATATGTTTAGCGATAGACGAAGATGGATGTTTGTCACCTGCACTTATCTGTTGATATGTTGAGGTCATTTGGTTTTTGATACCAGCCACTTAGGTACATGTTCAGCCTTCCTTAACTGCATATCACGATTACTCCTCCCTATGTATGCGTGTCCACACATACATGTAAATTGATAAACACAGTGGGATGTGATGTAATCGTTTATAATTTGTTTTGGTTTGTGCTGTAACATGGACTTGCTCTTCTCTACAATGATGACCTTGGTTGCATAATACATTTTACAGATGACCGATCTAAGTCTTTTCCTTACAACAAAGCTATGTGAATCATCTCCAAATGGTAATGAGATGTAGATATTTTTTCGTAGCAACGGAGGGAGGAAGAAACCAACGTACTGACGACAACACTAACACAGAATAGATACCCGTTGAGATTTATTGACAGGTGCAAAAGTTATGTACCATTCAAAAGTACATAGTGTTCCGTTGCTAAGAAAAATGTCTATCATTTGGAGGTGATTCACATAGCTTTGTAAATTTAAACCCCTTGCTTTATGTATACAAAAACAATTCGTACTCACGTTGAACCTTCCTCTTTCTCCAATGCTTCCTATTAAATTTATTGACATATAAATAGATAAATTTTGAGGGAGTTGTGGAGATTTGGAATTATTTCAAGTCGTTATTCACCGTAGACTGACATCAGTTGGAGGAACAAAGGAAACCTGGGAGCACTGGACAGCTGTTTCGTCTTAGTATGGGACTCCTCAGCAGTGCACACCCAACTTATGTCAGTCTACGATGAATAACAACTTGAAATAATTCCAAATCTCCACAACTCCCTCAAAATTTAATTGAACTGGTGCTCATTGGTGACTAGTTTCGAGAAGTATTCTCGAAGTTCCAATGACAAGTCGTGACTGGTGGAGTCAAAGCCTGATGGCCGTGAGGACAAATACTCAACGATGACATTGGGTGGCGGTTTGCGCTATATCGTGAGCTAACAGAAGTTGGAAATATGGAGCATTGGATTCTGACCCAGTGGCTCAATGGTAACGCGCTGGCCGCGGAACCTGAAGGTTGCGGGTTCGATCCCTGCTGGTGGGGTCGTGGGTGCGCACTGCTGAGGAGTCCCATACTAGGACGAAACGGCCAGCTGTCCAGTGCTCCCAGGTTTCCTTTGTTCCTCCAACTGATGTCAGTCCACGATGAATAACAACTTGAAATATAAATAGTTGTACAAGTCGATGTGTGGGGGATCAGATTGTTCGAAATGTATAGCGCTAATACATCACGACATGTTTCATCTTCTCATTATGCTGTTTAAATAAATCTTGTTTACCTGATTAATAACTGCTCAGGGATTCTATAGGCAAAACTTAAATATCTGATCAGGCATACTAAATAGCTGTACAATGTGCACACATGGATTTGTTTGATTAACTTTTACAAAAAAAATTATTAGCAGGAAGGTATTTATCGTACTCAGATACGCGCTGAAGTTAGGGAATTAACCAGTGAACCAATGAAGACCACAAATAAGCCTTTGTAGGACTCGACCATGTATACAAGCAGGTCACCATTTGGTAACCCATACACTTGGCCACTCTCTAATGTTTAACTTAGATCGTTAATACTGGTCAAGGAGTGAGAGCTTCAAGAAGTTTCAAGAGGCTACATATTAGTATCTAGAAGTGAAGGCAAGAGAGCAGAGAAATCCAAGGAGGGTGGGTCACATTTGATTGGGTTTTGTATACGACCGGAAGCCTGAGGGTGGTTGGTACTTCTCAGTTCCCTGAATGATGTGATTATTTGTGAGATACATGAAGAGAAAGTGGAACATTTTTGCGTGACGGCAGAGCCCATGTGATACCTGCTAGAGGCTGATTAAACGAGAGCACTTTAAAGCTGTTGGACTGAGATGTGGTTATGCTAATGCCGGACAAGAAAAACCCCTACCATCACCACTGGAATTACCACACGACATTGATGAGTAAGCTATTTTCGAAGACAATCTTTCCTAACTTACCTCCTTCCATGGGGTAGATAGTGTCCGGATGATAGTGCTACCCATCTATGGGAAACAATCCCAGCTAGCCGGCAGTATACCCTCTCCATCGGACCCCAATAATCCTATTGTGGTTTACACCCTAGAGCTAACTGAGGTTTATCTTACCACTATCCTTCGAACCTTTCTGATATGGTAGGACCTCTAGAGAACAAGTGTTTCAGCCAGCCTAGATAGTCAAGTCATTGTGATATTTAACCCTAAACACGATGTCAGAGTTGTAGTTACCTGTTGGGAAACCTATAGTGGATTTGTGATTCTCATTTTATTCACTGAACATCAATCAAAACTAACATTCATAGAGGCTTTACACAGCTGAACGTTTATTAAAAGTGCAATAAAAATTCTCTAATCCAATTGTGTTGTGTTCAGCTTAGCTTTTGATGTCGTGACAACACATCGATTTCCTGTTAATTTGAAGGACAGCAGCAATATGACCAATCCATTTTCAATATGTGTGTGACTTTAGAGGGCAAGAGATATTTTGAAATGAAGTCAAAGTTTTGTGATGATGTAAACAAAATTTTTTGATATGCTATGACATGTTAAATTATCAATTTCCCCCTAATTGTGTTCACTTATTTACCAGTCAAAATAATACTGTTGACCATTCAACAAAACAATAAGAAGACTTAGATTGAAAAGGTTGGTATAAAGCATTTGTGCAACACATTTCCAACTACCTGATCACATACATGTACTTATTTGTCATAGCTATAGCTTAATCAAAAGCCGAATAACAGTAAAAATCAATAGAGCAAAAATATTAGTACATCTAATTTGGTTTTCATAATTGAACTCATTGACGGAGTTTTAAAGTGACAACAAACTGTTCATGAACACACAAAGATCATTTGAACATCCTAATAACTAAGGCCTCAAAAATTTAAGGATCCATTCCCAATACATTTAGTAATCGGAAGTAAAGGAAGTAGCTACATCAATCCTGTGACTTGTCTCAATGATACGTTTGGTGACCGAAAAACTTGATCGTCTGCTATCAACGTTTCTAGGTTCAGATGATTTTTGTTTGCTTCTGAAGCCAATTTGGAATATGTTCTGAGGCCCTTACTTGCATGGATCTATGAGTCTTCCCTACGTATGTGTCATCACAAGTACATTTGAATTGGTAGACGCAGTAGGATGTGACATTGTTGCTCATATGCTGTGAGAGTTTGGGGGAATAAACGGGCTTGGTGGTTTCTGTTAATCGAATCCTAGCTGCATAGTAAGTCATTTTAACAGCACAGTTAAATGTCTGCTTAAGGATTGAACTATGAGAGTCACCTTTGTACTGAAGACTGATGAGAAAATCCTTATTTGAGATAAAGTGGAGATCTGGTTTTGATGCTTTGATTATTTTGTACTGCCTGCTTAGTAAATTTTGATGAATAGTTATTTTCCAACAGTATCTCAGTCAATGTTCTTGTCTCGTTCTGCGAAACATCATTTGTGCATATTCACTGAATTCTACTAAATAAGAAGGTGGAAAATCGCTCGATTTTACTGAACTGAATAAAAGCTATGATAGTTCAAATGTTCCCCTGTCTATGTAGGTTTTCTGTAGATAGATCGTTTTATAGATCCATCGTACCTCCGACTAATTAATATGTCGAAGAATGTCAAGCAATCATCGTCCGCTTTCATACATGTCAAGGTTCTCTGATCGGTTTTTCACGTGTGACATAGATATGTCAGCTAGGAGGGAACTTAAAGGACTTCCATGGCAACTTCATCAACCTGGCAACAATGTTCGTCCTCAAATATGTATTTAGTATTACTTGTACATAAAAGTAGCATCTGTTTTGAATGCACAAAAATATAATCTCATATTATCACATTAGCAGAGAATTTATGTGAAGTATGAAAGTATAAAGATTAGGGGGGGGTTGAGGGGGTGGGTTGTATCAACTTCGATGTTAGTTAGTCTGGTAAACAAACATTTCTCTGTTTGGTAGCAAATATTTACATAACCGTGGTTACTCACCAATCATAAATATAACCTCAGAGGTGTGATCTGTTGAAAAAAATACTGATATAGTTTATTCAGTAATACTACGACTAGGAAACACGCTTTACTTTTGAGTAAATAACTAGAAATCAGTATGAAAAAATATTTCTGTTTGACTGTGTGAGACAGTAGTCATAGTTCATTAGACTTTGAGTGATGATTGAAGGGGAAATGATTAACGTGCATGGTGGCTACAGGATTCGAAGCAGCCACCTCACGAATAGATATTTTACAAAATATGATCTCATGAGGTTTTCATTTGCATTTGCATTTCTGTCAAATGGATCAATCTGTTACATCAGAAATAGCACATCTCATGG